ATCGTTTCAGAGGCAGCAGACTTTCCCTCACACAAAGTAACTCCTCCACAGACCCAAGCCTCTGGGATGTGAGATAAGAGCTACTTTCTTTCTTACATTACAAAGATACGAAGACTAACAGAGGCAAAATGGGTGGAGGAGGGACAAGGAGCGCTGCTGTTTGGAACAGACTGAGTAGAATAGTGCTTTAGAGAAGGTGGGGTCCCCAGCTGCAGCTGGAGCTAAGACCTGTAATCAAATTGTGCTATCAACATGAACTTTGTCAGCTGCCTTTATTCCAACAGTTTGTGGGCTAGTAGGACTGGTAACTGGATGGTGAATATTATTGTGGTTGCAATTTTTTCTTTCCTCATTCTCTCCCCAAATTAACAAAAATTGTGCATCTTTATGGTGTACAAAATGATATTTTGATATCCATTGTGAAATAGTTAAATCAAGCTAATTGACATGTATTTCCTCATATGCTTGTCATTTTGTATTTGTGGTGAGAACATTTACAATCTTTTAACAATTTCAAGTAGGTGATAACTTTGTTACTATTTGTAGCCACCCTGCTGTAAAATAGATCTCTTCCACTTACTTCTCCTGCCTAGCTGAAATTTTGTGTCCTTCGACCAAGTTAATCCATGCCTCTCAGCCGCTGTGGCTACAGTTGTTTTTATATTTTAGATTCCAGACTGAATCCGCCCGAAATAGTTGTGTGCTAGAATTAGCCACCAGAGGGCGCCAGATCACTTAGTCACCACTGGGCTTCTGTAGCGCAGAATCGTAAGAATTAATGTCAGAGTATTGGAATCAGGTCCAGGGCAGAGAAAAATAAAAACCAGTATACAATAATGGTCACGCTGGGCCAACATTTAGGCAAATAACCTTTCATGTTCTTCTCTGCCTTTAATCACTCCGCTTTCTTAGTTTGTGTAAGCACTTGGCTTTATTTATTTCTTTTAAGTGAGTTAGGATTGTTTGGAGGAGAGTACTTTAGAAATGTGAAACCTCTGGTTTTCTTTGATCGCTGCCATAGACATGTGCACGAGGCAAAGAGGCTGCCTCCTCCCTGGGAAGCTTTTAAAGGAGTTTAGAAACAAATAAGCGGCCGATATAGTATTTAGAACTCAGGGTGGGGTTTCTGCTTTTGGTTTGGCTTTCAGGTAAAATGGTGGTGCTCAAGTCCCAGCCTGCAGGCACAGCCACAGCAGGTGAAGGTGAACTGGGCTGTCTGCAGGTGCTTCTCTGTCCCCTGGCCATTTTCCACCCCACCCAGGGAGTGGCAGGACAGTGCATGGGTCTGGGTGACAGGGGCCAGAGAGCCCACACAGGCTGGAGGGGCTCTGCCGCCTGGAGCTGCTTACACCTGACTGATCCTGGGCCTCTGCGCTGCAGAGTGATGGCTGTAACAGGAGTAACCGCAGACGGTGCCTCCACCCCTCATCTCAGGCCAGGGGCCAACCACCTTGCTGTTGGGCACACTGGCCGAAGTCCTGTCCCCACATTCCCTGCAGAGCACAGAGCATCATACACGAGCGCAGACATGGGGGGGTCAGATGATCTCATCTGTCCAATTTGGGGGGGCCACAGTCCTTACCACCTTGGTTGTAATGTGTATGGGTTTCTCTTTCATCCTTACCCATAACCCTCTGAGGCAGGCTGGGTAGTTCCTGGCCTTATTACAGCTTGTCAATGGGGGGGCACAATGAGCAGAAGATACCTAAATTTCCATGTAAGTTTGAGGTTCCATGGTGTTTAGGTAAAGCCTTTGCTAAATCAGGAAGGGCAGGTGCCAGTTCTTCTGAATGTGGTGCAGAAGCTTGTAGACAGCGTGAGGGTGGCTGGGGAGAGTGGGCAAAGGCCCACTGACATTTGCTCCTGGTGGAGGGTGGCGTAGTCGGATCCAGGGTCTGCTGTCAGGCCACTCAGAGAGGTGGGGAGAGGCTGGGCATTGCAGGATGGAAGGTTACTGATATGGAAGTGAGTGTCTCTGATGATGCCCAACAGAGATTTTGGATGACACGGAAGTTGGCAGATGTTCTTCAACAAAAGCAGGGGCAATGATGAGAGATGGTATTGAGGGGGCGCTTCAGCACCCCCTCGAAAGATGCTTAGACCATGAAGACCCTGACGGAGGGGAAGCATAGCTGGAGACTCTGCAATCAGCCCCAATCCAGGGGGATCATACTGTAGGGTTGTTTTCCAGGAGGAAGGCCCCCGAGGGGACTTGTTGTTTTTCACAGATTCGGTTTTGTGAGCGAGGGAATCCACTTCAGAGGCTTTGTATCACAGTCGGAGACAGTCCTGTCCTTTGCTGCTTCTTTTTATGTTATGGGTGTTTTATTTTTACAAATCTGGGACTTGATTTAAGGCAAGTCCTTAACTTCCTTGGCATATGCCGAGGCACAAAAGCAGCAAAGAGGAGCCTTTCAGAAGGCCAATAAATAAGGGAGCCTCAAGGCCGCAGTCACCTCGCACCTCCCCACAACCCTGATCCGGCCAGCTGCCCCAGCCCTGGGCCTTTGCATGGCAGGGAGGCTGCTGGACTCCAGGATGTCAGCACTGGACTCTAGGATATCATTGGTGGACGGGAAGCAGACCCAGATAATTTCACTGTCTAGACAGTACGATCTGCAGCTCTCTTTTACATACTGCTTTTTGGGAACCAAACACTCAGGAACTCTTACCACATCCCATTTTCTCCTGTAACTTCTGCCTTAACTCGTTTCTACTGAACGTGTATGCTTGAGCCCATGCGTGTATTCTGAAACAAACGACGGAAGCCTCCCATCTCCTTCAGTCTTTCATCCCAGCTTGGCCTTCCCCGCCTCTCCTCCCCTGCAAACTGACAGGTGCACCCCCCATGGGGCAGAGGCAGCCTTACAGGTAAAGCTGTTCACGGCCCTCTACCCTAGGAAGAGCCGAAAGGAACTCGAGAATTCCAATTAGACTGCAATTAACGAACCGGAAACTTCGGGGAAATCACTGTGGACAATGAGGGGAGAGTGGGATCATTTGTTTTAATTAGCCCCAGAAAAACTTGTGGCCCAGCCGGTAGTTGAGGCAGGATCGGGTCCAGAGGGAGCAAGTTTCCAAGCATGAGAGGAGGGGGATCCCATGGTGGTGTGGGAATGGGCATGGGGCGGCAGAAACCGCCAGGATCAGGGCCGGGGAGACCTTCAGTGGGGGAACGAAGGCTCAGTAAAGCCCGGAGAATCTCCGCAGGATGGGCAGATCTGAGACTAGACAGATGAGGAGCTGCCCTTTAAGGATCTTTATTGCCCGTAGGGCCCTGCACCAGGCCTAGTCCGGCCTCCAGCTCTGCTTTCTGTCCTGAGCAGTATCTGAGGCTTAATAAGGAAAAGGGAGAGAAACCACCTGCTGCTGTCAGAGGCCACAGACCACCCACCAGCCTCCCAGATGGCCCTGCCCTTCAGCCACACTCGTGGCAATGGGGCACCCAGGAAGCAAGAAAAGGAGCGAGGGATGGGAAGTGTGTGCATCCCGGAGTAGGGTGCTCCTCACTCCCCAAACCCGAGGGTCTTGGGGCGTCGGTAGAATCGAGTAGAATCGAGCTGGCCACGCCTCCCCTACCAGCCGAGGTTCCTAGGGGAAAACCCGCCTGCCCCGGGGCGCCCCGTCGTAGTCCCCGGATCCCCCACGGCTCCTGGTCAGGGCAGCACCTTGGAGAAGGTGTCGGGTCCCGCGCTTGGGGGAGGGGGCGCTGCACCCTGCTCGCCGGAGGCTGGGGGCCACCTCCGAGGGGCCTTCCTGGCCCTGTCGTGCCCACCAGCCAAGGCGAGCAGGAGCGCCGAGCCTCCTCCCTCCGCGCCGGGCGGCCTGAGCCCGAGCCCGCGCCTGCTCCAGTTGCTGCAGCTGCCACTGCTGGCGGCTGCGGGGAGCGCGGGGCGCGCGCCGAAGAGGCTCGGGCGGCGAGGACGGGGACAAGGAGGAGCCGGAGGAGGCGAGGAGGAAGAGCGCGCGGAGGCCGAGGAGGCGCAGCGCGGTGGCGACGCGGCTCGGAGGTCACGGCAGCCTGAGCTAGCGGCGGCGGCGGCGCGGGGCGCGGGGAACCTGCTGCGCGGCCCGGCGCGCACCGGGGCGGGACTGGGAGAAGGCGCCGGCGGGGAGGCGGGCTGGAGCGGGGGCGCCGGGGCGGAGGGGCCGAGTCCACCTTATCACCGAGGCGCCGCTGCCCGAGCGGAGAGCGGCTCGTTCGCGGCGCGGGAGGCGCGCGCAGGGGGTCCCCGGCCGG